GTTTCACCAGCCGAGAGCAGGGGCGAGGGGGGGGGGGGCCGGGGGTTATTAGGGAAAGTCCCAGACCTCAGGAGGTCACTGTGCCTTAGATAGGTGGGTATGAGTCCCTTTTTGTCAAATGGGCCCTTGAAGTTCAGGTGGGCCTTTTTGTTACATACCTGTCTCCCTGCTATGTTTCATCGGCCCTGCCGGAGCTGCTGAATATGTTAGCCGGATTGGTGGTTGATTTCCCCAGGCTTATGATCCTGGGGGATTTCAATCTGCCTTCCATTGGCGAGACATCCGAGTAAGTTCATGGCTTCCATGATGGCTATGGACCTAACTCAGTTAATTCAAGACCCCACCCATAACAGAGGACACATGCTCGACCTGATTTTCATCTCTGGGCATTGTATGAATGATCTAGATTTAGGGGATATTTCTATCCAACCCTTGTCATGGTCGGATCATTTCCTCATCAGGCTTGACTTCCATACTGCTACCCCTCACCGCAGGGAGGCGGAACTGATTAGATGGTTCTGCCCCAGGCGCCTGATGGATCCTGAAAGGTTCCTGATGGAGCTTGGGACTTTTCCTGAATCCCTTGCTCACAGTTCGACTGAAGCCCTAGCGGAAGAATTCCGAATCCGACCAAACACTAGTAAGAATTTATATTAAATCCTACTTAGTGGCGATAAAAGCAGGCAAAACGGCAACATTTTTCTGTTCTTATTGTGTCTGCAGATACCTGCCCAGCCGCCCTGTTTAGGGTGACCCACTTCTTACTTAATCAAGGAATTGGGGAACACCCCTTGCAGGGTAGGGCTGAAGAATTTGTTCAGTATCTGCAGGATAAAATAGCTCAGATTTGGACAGGCTTGGACTCTGACTGGGTAGATTTGGGCGAGTTGGTGGGGATGAATCTTGTGGAAACTATCTGGGATGAGTTTGACCCTGTGACTCCCAAGGACATGAACAGATTTATGGGTAGACTCAGTGCTGCCACTTGTGTGCTGGACCCGTGTCCTTCTTGGTTAGTTTAGGCTTCCTGGGAGGCGACACGAGGCTGGCTCCCGGCAATTACCAACGCTTCATTGAGAGAGGGGTTCTTTCCCACTGCCTTGAAGGAGGCGGTGGTGAGGCACCTTCTTAAGAAGCCTTGCCTGGACCCAGCCTCTTTAGCCAACTATCATCCCCTTCGCTTTGTAGTGAAGGTTGTTGAGAGCATGGCAGCACGTCAGCTTCCCCAGTACCTGGACGAAGTTGCCTATCTGGATCCGTTTCAGTCGGGTTTCAGGCCTGGATACAGCATGGAGACGGCATTGGTCGCATTGGTTGATGATCTCTGGTGGGCCTGGGACAGGGGTTGTTCCTCTGTCCTGGTCCTATTAGACCTCTCGGCGGCTTTCAATACCATTGACCATGGTATCCTACTTTGACGACTCAGGGGGTTGGGAGTGGGGGGCACCATTTTGCGGTGGTTCTCCTCCTACCTGTTGGATCGATTGCAGTTTGTGTTGACTGGAGGGCAGAGATCAACCCCAAGGTCGATTGTGGGGTGCCCCAGGGGTCAGTTCTCTCACCCCTCCTGTTCAACATATACATGAAACTGCTGTGCGAGATCATCCGTGGTTTTGGGGTACAGTATCATCAATACGCTGATGATACCCAACTTTTCATCTTTACCCCAAACCACCCAAACGATGCCTTCGACGTGATGTTCTGATGCCTAGAGGTTGTACGGATCTGGATGGGGATGAACAGGATCAAGCTCGATCCCTCCAAGACTGAGTGGCTGTGGTTCCTGTCATCCCGATTTGGGCATCTTGTACCATTCTTGATGATAGGGGGAGAAATTTTAGCCCCCTCAATGAGGGCCCACAATCTGGGAGTCCTCCTGGATATGTGGCTTAGTTTAGAAAAACACCTGACGGCTGTGACCAGGGGAGCCTTTCACCAGGTCTGCCTTGTATGACAGTTGCGCCCCTTCCTGGATCGGGATGCCCTGTGCACAGTCACTCATGCCTTTGTCCTTTCTCGCCTGGACTACTGTAGCTCTCTACAGGGGTTGCCCTTAAAGAGCTGGTCCAGATTGCGGTCGCGCGGGTTGTCATGGGGGTACCTAGGTACTCCCATGTTACACCCCTTTTAGGCGGCCTGCATTGGTTGCTGGTTGTTTTGCAGATGAGATTCAAGGTGTTAATTATGATCTTTAAAGAGCTCCATGGCTTAGGCCAGAGTATTTGCGAGACTGCCTACTGCCACTGGTAGCCTCCCACCGTCTAGTACAAATCCACAGAGTTGGCCTCCTCAGGGTGCTGTCGGCCAGGCAGTGTCGGCTGGCGACCCCCAGGGGGAGAGCCTTCTCTGTGGGCGCGCCTTCCCTCTGGAATGAGCTGCCCCCGGAGCTTCGCATAATTCCCGACCTCCGGTCCTTCTGGTGTGCTCTAAAAAGTTGGCTTTTCCAGCAAGCCGGCCTAGCATGAATAAAATAAATTATTAATTTTAATTGTTAATTTTAATTTAATTTCTAAATTCATTGTAAATGNCACACTGAAAAAAAATTAGAGGGAACATTGCCCCTTTGTTACCTTTTCTGCAATAGTAGATAATATAAAGAACTATATATAGCTTTAGAGATTCTAGTTATGGGAATTTGACTAGCACAGCTAAGTTTACTGATATGCATATCAAATGTTTGCTATAAGGGCTTTTTCATAAACAATAGACTGATTATAAATTTGGGGGAATGCAGTTACAAAAATTCAAAGGTGCTAGGCATATCTGTTTATTTTTAGGTAAGTAGTTACATTTGATTCTGAATCACATAAGGAACTGATGCTTTGGTATAACTCAAACTTGAAAATAATGGAGAAGTTGTCCTGTTGGAATGCTGGGGTTAAACAAGGGATAAAAACAAAAATCTATTGATTTTTCACTTTCTTTTAAAGATATTGAGAGATTGCATTTTGACTTATCACGTGTATATGCTGGCAATATATACAAATGAAGCATGTACTAACTGAACAGTATGCCCTGTAGACTTTAAAAATCTCCATGGTACCTGCAATTCTAACTTATTTATTTCCTTGATTGGAAACCAACAGTTCAATTTTATAAGGTATTAAAAGGTGAGATAAAAATTAGTTTCA